TAAATTTTACATTGGTTAGCACTTTGAGTATTCTGAAATATTAAAAAAAGTGTTATTTTTACTAATAATAATATATAGTCAAATTCCTCTATAATCATCACTCTCAAAAAGCAAAATTTAATAATTATAGAAAAAAATATGACTATAAAGAAGTTTTTTTTATTCTATTTATATATAAATGAAAAAACAAAATAAAATAACTATAAAGAGATGTGACTATAAATGAATGTGACTATTTCTTAAATTATCCAGTTTAGCAAGCAAATTTGCCTGTTAAAATATCATAAATTTATATCTTTACCAAACATTAAAATGTTTAAAAAAAAAGTTGTTTAATATTAGCTTTAATTATATATGATATAATAATTATTTTCACTTTTTTAACAATTATAAAAAAAATAATTGTCTATTGAGTTAAAAATAAGCAATTTAAAAAAATTTTTTATTATTAATCTTAAATTTTAAAAAAATTTCATAATAAAATTACAGAATTGATTACAAAATAAATCGAATATTTATAAATAAAAATTACAAATTTAAATTATATTGATTAAAAATAGACTATATTTTTATTTTAGCTTAGAAAGGGAAAGGGGTTAAGCTTATAAAAATTAGACGTAAATGTACAAAAATTAGTCAAAAACCATTTTAACAGGCAAATTTGCCTGCTGGATGGTTTAAGGGATAGAGGTATTTGACTATATATCGATCTCTAATCAAACTTGAATCAGATTTAAACTCATATAATAATTTAGTTCAAATCTGGTTCAAACTTTGAATCTTTTTTGAATTCAAGTCAAAGTTTGATTCGAGTTTGATTCGAATTTCAAACCAAACTCGAATCCAGATAAAAGTTCAGTTTGGTCTGGTTCTGTAAACGTAAAACCATGATCATTATGAAGTAGGAAAGCATATTATCAGTGTTTTGTCAGATTCCAAAGAGATTAACCGTACAACATTTGAGAAGTTTTTTTAATAAGGTTGAGGAACCCAACGAAGTCTTGGAGACCAATATATTTGTGTATTATCTGGAAAAAAATACTATAACCTTTCAGTTTCGTTCAATAGAAAGCTACATCCGTGAAAAGCTAGTATATTCGTTGAATAAATAAGCCTATGAGGAAGGAAATGGGGGAGATTGTTAGTAAAAACCAAGCAAATTATATATGTAATAGATATATAATTTGCTTGGTTTCCTCTAAATGCTCAAAATCACATTAAATAGGATCGTTAGTTGCACAATAACTTCTATCAATAAAATGCATCTACTCAGCCTTTAACACAATACGATTTCCCACTTGGACAAATATACACAAGACATTTTCGCTATTGCTAATACAGAATAAAAATGATCGTGGGGTTATGTTCTGATTTCAGAACACTATGTAGTAGCAAGAAAGGCAATGACTCCACCAAGTTCAGCAGTATCACTAAATAATTTTTCGCTTTCATCATTATCCCACCTCTCTCATTCACAATCTAATCAATTCTAATGTATCATCCTTTGGATTTCTCGTTAGACGTTTATGACCCGGACCTCAACTTCAGGTCACGTAAGTTTAGGTGGCTACCCCAAGACAGAGACCCGGAAACTTGTAAGGAAGATCGGAATTTTTGGTGGTATCAATTTATAATTGTATTTAACAGAATTGAACATCAATTAGAACATAGCGATAGTTAACAAGTTTCAAGCAGACCTAATCAGTAAAAAAGTATTAATTGATCTACATACATATTATATTAAGTTTTACAACAACATTAGTGAATTTTCATTTCTGGTGTTATGTCATACCTCCATGAGGAACCATACATTTAAAGAATAGATTTAAATACTAGGACCTTTAACTTGAGACCAAGGATGTGCATTATGGAGGATGCATTTATGGAGGTTTCATCTGGATCATATTAGATTTAATCGATAATATATGTCATGTGGTGCAATTATTTCTAGTATTGATATATTCCATATCCCATATCGGTCACTCACTCTTTGTTGATACAGCAATCGGAGGTGGAGTCGGTTTATGAAACTGATAAATAAAAATTAGAACCATAATTCTTCTTATTATATATTGTATGTATTACCATAAAAAATACAATAAAATAATACCAACCGCCTCCGAAATCTCCAACCATTCTAACGACTTAATTATTTGACAATTCCAACTCTCTGGAAATTCGTCATGTCCCCATACCGTAAACCGATCAAACTTTTCATGCGCAGTCTCCCAACACCTTGTCATTATCTCTTCATCACATGCTGTCAGTTCGAGTAGTTCACGATCCAAATCTGATAGATGGTCGTCATTATTATTTTCATTTTCATTATTGTTAGAGACTGAGGAGATGGTTGTTAGCAATAGCGAAGATTCTTTAAATGAGGATGTTGGTTTCATCGAGGTTTCTTTAAATATGAAGCCTTTTTGGTTGGTTGACAGACAAGAGGTTTATGTTAATATCAATTATTTATCCGAAAATATAACTATTAAATTCAATAATATATTATTATACCTTCATAACCATCTTTCAAGATCACCTCACGGCCAATAAGTTTTCGTCCACGAAACGATGATGATAATGATGCAGATGGCGGATCCTTGGTCTTCTCATTACTATCTGATTTTTTAGACGCGTCTTTTCCAGCACCATTAGACTTCTCTGGAACTGTATTAACATTATTATCGTGATCGATGTCTACTCTCATGTTTATATCATTAATTCCATTATTACTTGTCCCATTTCCATTTTGTTTCGGATTCTTTTCCTCCTCTTTTACACGATACTGATGCTGCAAGGTAACTTCATGATCCACCAGCTGTTCAATCAGAAAATACGTGTCTACTTTTGCAGGACCTTCAAAATCTACATTACATGGGAGAAGGTGAAGTGTTGGTGGTTTGGGTATTGTTTTTACTTGGGTTATAGAACAAGAATGAGAGGAATTCGAGGAATCTGGGAACGTAGAACAATTATTTTTCGTGTTAACGAAAATTTCCATGATGCCTTATTAGAAATTCTAAAAAAAATTGATCGATCAGATCAACATTTGATGATACTGTAATTCAACGTGGTCACACGACAATAAATAATCGAATGAAAAAGATTAATTAAAAAAAATCACACAGAATTATATAACTCATTTTTGTAATTTATTAATTTATTAATTTTTTCACCATCTTATTTATTAAATATAATGAAGGCTCTCATCCTTGTGGGTGGTAAGTTTGTCTTATCAGCTATAACAGCGCGCTTCTGGCATTATTAGGTTTCGAGATGTTTAACATGTATCTATATCAATGCTTTATGTTAACAATAATTAAAAAAAGGTTTTGGTACGCGTCTTCGTCCACTTACACTTACACTCCCGAAACCTTTAGTGGAGTTTTGTAATAAACCCATGATACAGCATCAAATTGAAGGTCTTGTAAAGGTAGTATTATTATCGTCATCGTCATCAACATTAAATATTTCGAAATTATATTTTGTTACATGTTCGTATTTTTGATATTCGAATTATTTAGGCAGGAGTCACTGATATTGTTTTAGCAGTGAATTATCGACCAGAAATCATGGAACAAATTTTAAAAAAATACGAAGAACAGTATAACATAACAATTACATTTTCTGTCGAGACTGAGCCATTGGGTACTGGTAGGTATGGTTAGGTTGGTCGCAATTAAAGTTGCCTGGAAAACCCTATGTTTCGATGGGTTCGTTAAGAAGGTTTTGGCAGGCAACTCTAGTCGTAATGGATCGGGTTATATAAATATACAGCAATTAATGGATGGGGAGTTTTTATGTGTGTTAGTTCACGACCAAAATATTAATTGTCTAACATTCATTTCAATTTTTTAATTAAGCTGGCCCTCTTGCATTGGCTCGAGAGATTTTGGGAAAAGGTCGTTCGCCATTTTTCGTGCTTAATAGTGATATTATTTGCGAATATCCATTCGATCACTTGAGAGATTTTCATGCCGCGCATGGAAAAGAAGGCACAATTGTTGTACGTATTATTGTTACTTTTTTAATAATAAGAGAAATACAAGTGATTGGATAGAAGTGAGTGGTGAATTGAGGGTAGTGTGGGTGATAGAGACGGGGTGGAGTAATGTGAATGGGTGATGATTGATTATATTTTTAATTGGCAATTGGATTTTTATTCTATATCCGACACCTAAATTTCATTATTATTTACTATTTATATTTATATTTATTAATAACAATTGTTCATTAAATAGGTTACTAAGGTGGAAGAACCATCAAAATACGGTGTAATTGTTAATCACTCGGGCACCACATGTATCGAACGTTTTGTTGAGAAACCTGCAGAGTTTGTAAGCAATAAAATTAATGCTGGTATTTACATATTTAATCCGGAAATATTGGAGCGCATCGAGGTAATTAATACTTACTATAAGTTTCTATTTACATTTTGACAACGACTGACTAAGCTTTTCTCTTATAAATAGTTAAAACCGACGTCAATCGAAAAGGAAATATTCCCGCTAATGGCACACGACAAACACCTACACGCCTTCGAACTTGACGGTTATTGGATGGACGTTGGCCAACCAAAAGACTTTTTGACCGGTACCTGTATGTATCTAGCAAACCTCGCAAAGAAAAAACCACAACTACTCGTCAATCCCGAGTGTGAATTCGTGTACGGCGGGAACGTGTTGGTCGATCCGACGGCGAAAATTGGCAAAGATTGTCGAATTGGGCCGAATGTCACGATTGGGCCGAATGTAGTGGTTGGGGATGGGGTGCGGTTGCAACGGTGTGTTATATTAGAGGGGGCACGAATTAAGGATTTTGCGTGGGTGAAGAATAGTATAATTGGCTGGCATTCGACACTTGGGCGCTGGGTATGTATTTGTGTTTTGGTATTTTTGTGCCTATGTGTATGAATTAATGAGGATTTGGAACTCATTTCCATTTTATAAATTTAGACACGTCTTGAAGGTGTATCAGTCTTGGGCGACGATGTGTCAGTAAACGACGAAATCTATGTGAACGGCGGATGTGTACTACCTCACAAATGTATCGCCAATAATATCACGGAGCCGCAAATTATCATGTAGTAGGGGAAGAAACAACCCCATGAGCGCACGAGAAACACGTTTGAACATATAAGCCTAGACATTTCTTTAATAGATTAGAATTTTTTTAAAACACCAAAGATTCTCGAGTATGATGAAGAATTTATTCGTATCGTTTCAAAGGCGTATTTTATATATCTATAAATATAACGAATTTATAGGATTAATTATTTAATAATGGTGGATATTAAACGCTTAGTAATAAAAAAGTATCCTTAGGTAATTTTGGACACTATCATTTTTTTTAGTTTTCTTTATTTGGGTTGGGGTTGAACTGGCGATTACTATCATCATTACTTACTACCAAGAACAATTGATGTTTATTCATATCTCTCAAATTCCACATTACGAAATATAGTAGCAAAAAATAATAATATATATTGAATTCTATTTAATTTACTACCATAATAAATAAATACCAAAGCAGGATTTCAAAATCAAAAAATAAAGAGAAATAATTGTCAGTCATATTGATTTATTATAATCAATTTTCTCCATATCGAAATCCACCATACACATCGCCACCACCCTTACCACTAGTATCATTATTACCATTATCACCACCGCCAGTACTACCATCAAAACTTCCACCGTATCCATAATATAAACCACCACCCACAGCACTTCCATACGCAAAGCTAGAAGCTGACGGAATAAATCTTTGCTGCTGCTGCTGCTGTTGTTGAGGATATCCTGGCGGAGGCGTCCTCTCGGATGCACGATCAACTTTAATCGTACGTCCGTTAAACTCTGTATCATTTAAACTCCTAATTGCCGACTGTGCTTCACTACTATTCGAGAACGTCACGAATCCGAAACCGCGACTACGTCCCGTTTCACGATCACGTATCACCACTGCGTCTAGGACGTTTCCGTGTTCTTCGAATTTTTGACGGAGTGCTCGGTCATCGGTTGTCCATGATAGACCACCGACGAATAGTTTTACGGACATTTTTGGCTGGTGTTTTGTTGATTGATTGGATTTTGTCGCGTCGTTAATTGAAAATTTTGTGAGCGATGTTTTAATGTTTTTATACTTATAAAACCATGGCGAGACAAATTCATGAATTTGATATCACTATGCATCATTGATTCTTTTGCTTAAAAGAATTAATTTATCGTAATCACAATGATGATGATAATTATGATGGGATGCCAATAACAAAGTGCATATACTCTCATACTAACTTTCTTTCAGTCCATTCATTCATCTCAAGTTTTTTCGATTAGAGATTCTAATATCATAGCATATAAAAAAGTGTTTGATCATGTGATAATCATCGTGTAGAACTTTATTCGAAAATAAATTAAACAATAAATAAATACATCAAATGATTTCGATCAACTAGAATTAATCGGATGATACTATTCTCCCAACTTTTCACTCAACCACCTCTCACACTCCAACGCGGCCATACACCCCGACCCAGCACTAGTAACCGCTTGCCGATACTTTTTATCTTGAACATCTCCCGCCGCGAACACCCCCTCAACACTCGTCACAGTACTATCTGGCTGTGTGACAATATACTTCTCCTCATCGAGTACTAATTGCCCTTCGACCAATTTCGTGGCGGGTGTATGACCAATCGCGTAAAATAAGCCGTTAACTGAGAGTTCACGCTCCTGGCCGGTTTTTGTATTTTTTAGTTGGATGGATTTTAAGAGTTTACCGTCGCCCTTTGCTTCGATCGGGATGTGTTCCCAGATTACGGTGACTTTTGGGTTGGAGAGGAGTCGGTTGGCCATTACTTTTGATGCACGGAGTTTGTCACGGCGTACAATTACAAAGACGTGTGATCCGTATTTTGTGAGGAAGATTGCTTCTTCGGCGGCGGAGTCGCCTCCGCCTATCACTGCTAATGGTTTGTTTCGAAATATTGGGACGGCGCCTTATTTTTCATTAATTTCATAATCAATAAGCTATCATCATTTATTCATTAATAAATAATCAATTAATTAAAAAATAAAAGAATACACACCATCACAAACAGCACACGCAGAAATCCCTTTCTGCCAATACTTATCCTCCCCGGGCAAATTCAATCTCTTTGCCGCCGCACCAGTCGCCACAACAACAGCATCCGCGGTGTCCGGTCCCTCGTTCTCTTTACCCTCGCACCAATACTTGAACGGCTTTGACGAGAAATCCACTTTCGCTATAGTCTCTGTGATTATTTTCGTGCCGAATCGTTCACTCTGCTGACGGAATTTTTGCATCATTTCCATGCCACCGATGCCATCCGGGAAGCCGGGATAATTCTCGACGTCGGTAGTTGTTGTTAGCTGATTGTGTGTTTGTCATTAATGATTGAAATTAGAGGTTGATTTTCTCGTTGGATATCATAATCCATTCTTAGTCTTAAAACACAACAATACCTGTCCACCAGCAGCAATACCATTAGCCAAAAATCCTTCATACATAACGGGTTTCAAAGTCGCGCGTGATAAATACAGTGCGGCCGTATGTCCAGCCGGACCAGACCCAATAATTACAACTTTCGAGTGCATTTCTTTCTTTTGTATTTTGTAATTTAAATTATTGATTGAAAATGGGTTTGATTTTGATGAAATTGAAGCTGTAATAGAATACCACTTGGAATTTATGTGACTTTTATTGTTACTATGGTGGATATTTTTGAAGATTCTACTATTAATACTCGATAACAGTAAAACTTTTTTTCGTGTTTCTGTTTCTTGAACTGTTGAAAGTTCTCGTATATTTATAATGTTCGAAGACTTGTTTTTGGTGGAACTGGTAATTTGTAAGCAACCACCACTTGTACCAGAGCTTATTTTATTAATAACAATATCATTTAAACACCTCCCTTTTTTGTTATTATTATAAAAATTTATATATCGGACGCGCGTAAGCATAATACTAATAAAAAAGGTACAAAAACTTTGTTGAATGAAATATGAAGCATCTAGTAACATAGATATTGTGCCTTATTTAGTAATGATTTCTCAATTCCACGCGATAATATTTTATATATATTACATAATCGTGCATGCCATTATTCCGAAACTCCTGTTCCCTTCTTCCACATACACACACACACACACACACACACACACACACACACAAAATTCGCTAGAATCATTTTGGGTTGAAAAAGGGAGGACTACTCCCTTCCAAAAATTGCTCTCCGACCAACGTTTAACGGCCGGTCGAGGAGACGGGATATTGGTATAGTTTGCAATTAGCAATAATCTGGCCTCGGATTACTCCTCACTGGCGCAGATAATGCCCGTGCACAAAGATGAGGAAAACAAGCAGGTAATGGGATGTTCGTCTATTTATACTAATTTTTTTTTGCGGATGGTGATTGATGAATTGTGGGATTTTTTTTGGTGGGATGTGTTGATTGGTTGGCGGTTTGAGTAGTACAAATTGTATCATTCATTTGTATTTAAAGAATTGAGCTGTGCATAATAGAACCTTGGTAATGCATAATTTGTCAATTTATCAAGAATCGCTAGATTTTGCGCAATAAATAATTATACATATTTGTTCTAAAAACATTTCTAATTGCCTAAACCAACACTTAAAATCATTTTAATTTGGGATATTATTTTGCAAGAACCGCACAACTACAATCATAAATCATAAAACATTAGATACACGAGAATGAAAAACGGAATACACACATACAAAACATACCTTCAGGCAATCCTTCATAATCATACCCAAAATCACGACCCCAACCAATAACATCTTGTGGCGTCGATCCGTACTCTTTCGCCGCGTAAGCTAGTAACACGATCGATGCGTGTAATCCGACACGCGAATGTACGAGTAATGGTTTTGGTAGTGTAGTTATGTAGTTTGTCAGTTTTGCGAATGTAGACGGTGGAATTTGTGTTACTGCCTGAAAATTAAAGGTTTTATAAGGATACACGAATGAATATGGTGAAATAATCATCAGAACTAAAATGTACCGAGATTGGAAAGTGAACATATTCAAGTCCTTTTTCACTCAATAAATATTTTTCATTCGATAAATGACCTGTCAATATAATCATGATCACGATTAAAAATTGAAATGAAATAAAATAAAAAGAAGTGATTATCATCTCCAACAATCAAATCACAAACCATCTTCACCCTCACAACTCAAATCGATAACCGCACGAAACCCAACATATGCCAATCGCGGGATCCACTCTTCGGCAATCTGCGCCGAAAACGCCAAATCATCCGTAATTTTATTGCACCCGGGATTATACTTGCTCAAAAACAAGTTTACAAGATTGGTGATCGACAGGGCAAAGTTTCCACGTTCATTATTATCAGCGCTAGTGGGAATAGATCTGTCGATGAATGTGGACAGGAGGGTGTTTGAACGGTAGAATTGAAATGTGGGGAGGATGCTGATGTCTTTTTTTGCAGCGAAGGACTTTTTTTAGTTAGTGAATTTTTCGTTTAGTAAAGACAATAAAGATCACATGATAAATAATTTGGGATATTATTTGTATAGTTACCATTAATTCATTCACGTCAACACTAATAAATACTGCAACTTCGGCATGTTGTTTTGCTAAATTCTGAATATGTGACGCTAGAAAATTGAAATTGAATCAATTTGAGCTTTTGATTCTGATAAAGAATGAGTCTCTAAATGGGTTAGTGAAAATTACCTATTGCTTTGCATTTAGAACAATGTCTATTTTAACATTTCAAGAGAAAAAAAAAGGGTCAGCATCTTTAGCGGGACATGAAATTAATCAAAAAAAAAAATGGAATCTTACTTTGACGTATACTGGACAACAGTCTTTCAAACAAAATTTTCATTAATGCATTTATATATGCGAATCAAGAAAAAAACCACGAAAATGAAAAAGAAACTGGTACCAATTTCTTATCGTTCAAATAATTATCAATCTCTGTTGTATTAGTTACTTGTTTAATGTAATCCGCCTTGTTTGCGTTTGCCATTTTTAAGGATCAAAGAAAAAGATCGAAAAAGCAAAAACAATAACGAGTCCAATTTATAGATAACAATAAAAATATCGGAAATTTTCTCTTTCAATATTCCCCGAACGAGAGTTTGTTTATATCGTTAATATTACACAATGGAGTGAGAAAATGATGATGTCGATTAGATACCAGACAAGGATTAGTAATCATTACGATTATTTCCAATCAGAATAGTCAAATAATTCGTCATTATTTTAAAACTAACGAGATAAAAGACAATGGACACGTAAAATAGAGAATACACGTGGAACCACTTTAGATCTTGATTTTGCCTAATTATCAGGATAATAAAAATATCGATTTTTTGAACTTCCTTATTAAGCATTATATTTCATATAGATAAAATTGGTGTAATTGCTGTCGAGATACCATGATTTCATAATTCCAAATGAATTGTAACGCTAACATGTAATTGTTGGTATCGACATCATCGACATCATCGTCGTTCTAACCAAATAAAGTTTAAAGTTATTGAATATCGAAAATCCCGAACTTTGTAATTGAACTTGAGAAATAATTTTTTCATATTCTCGGATTTCTTCGTCGCAGTCCCTGACACTTATTCGTATGAAATAGGTTCATCATGGTCTGGAAATTTGATTGCCATAACTCTCAACATGCGATTGGCCGTCATCAATGCAATTCCTGTAAAAACAAACTAGTAAATCAATAAATTAAATCAATAATTGTGACAGATTAAAACGAAACCGGCCAAATTAAAAGGAAATCAGATTATAATAAAATCAAATCAAAGTAAAATTTGGTTCTTTTTTTATGGGATAAAAATTTCAGAGAAGGGTTAGGGTTAGGTTAGAGCATAGAGTATAGCATTAAAATCTGTAATATATTGACCTGTGATTATTTAAACATCCCACTCTGTTTCGTTTTAATTTTAATCCGTCACAATAATTAATAAATGTTCTTCAGACCTTCGGGAACTTAAATATTGAGCCGATTTTTACGAAAATTGGTATGTATGTAGATTTCATAGAGCAGAATATATTTAATTAGTGAGTGGTCTAAATTAACTTGGAAAGAGTTTTCAATGTGAGAAATTTACTAATTGAAAAAAAATTTTGATTTAAATCACTAAGTTTCATAAAAAAAAAATATTAGAGATTTTGAGTACTTTAATAATCATGGAAATAAAATTCTAAAAGATTTTCCGTGTTACATTTCTTGTGTGAGCCACTGTACATTAACTAAATATTTATTAGTTAAAAAGTTATTTTCTTATTCAATACTAGTTCAAAAGTCTTTTACTAGTGTTTCTATTTGTTGAATATTCGTTATAGAATAAAATTGACTTTCGAAATCCCAGATGTGTGCGACTCTGTACAAAAACTATTTTATTATTTTCACTAACTCAGACCAACTTGTTCACTCCGTTAAACAAAAAACAATAGGAGGTTTCATTCTGCAGCAAGTAGTTTTTTGCCTATCCGAGCTTCAGTGTTTTAATCAAAAGAATTCAGCCAGCTTGATTTCTGAATTTACTATTTAGGACTAAATGATTTAATAGGGGAATTACCAACAGCGGCCGCACTTTTGGGCCGGTATGCAGCTGTGACATTCGGTGTAAACAGATAATATATTCGAATGATGTGCAATGACTATGAACATATATACAGTCGAGATAACGAAGCATTAATTAAACCGGAAATGTTTATCGGTAGTCACAGGATTTTTTACGGAACTCAACCAATCAGATTTAGTGTGACATCGCGTAGATGACACAGCCTATGTAGACATATAGTAAAAGTCATTTGGTCAGAAAATTCCGGAATCGGTATATGCTTTTATTAGTGAATTCCTGTTTTTACATAGTTAAATCAATGCGGCGTCGATATAAGCTGAGTTTGGTGTATACGGCGCTGTTATAGAAAGCTTTTACTGTAATTTTTAGTTCACAATGGACAGAAGATCCATTTTCTCAGCTCAAATTATCAATCACTTCGAAATATTTTATTATTAATCCATTTTTATCGATTTTCATGAAAAGTGATGTCATTTACGAATCAAAAGATAAACCACTGACTATTCAAGTCGTCTTTAAGCATAGTAATTCATGTAAAAGATATGAAGAAATATAATCTTGTTTCTTGGACATCAAGTTGTTGGACTCATTATAAGATTCACAGCTTTCTCATTTCCTTTGATTTGAAGGATTATAAAGTAAATAGACAAGAAATTAGCATTGAATTTTCACCAATTGTGAACCTGCTTTTGAGAAAAATCGAGTAATTTCTTTGAGTAACACCGAACTCTTTGAGATTTAAGTATTAGCTTGGATGTACATAGCGATAGTAAACCTTTATAAGTTGATCCCTAAGACGAAACCTCTCTCGACAAAAATTGTCTGTACAAAACATATAGCTCCTCTTTAAATCGAAAACCTCTCTTAGTTAAAGTTAGAGTCTAACCGAGATTTTTAGATTATCGGGACTTAGGCAAATTCAAAAAGAAACTGAAACTGCATTAAATAAAGAAATTTATGGGATCATTCGTATATGGTGCCGAAAGTGCTGAGGGGTATATTTACTCCTTTGGAACGTTAACGTGGGAAATACGGAACACTAGAGCTAATTCCATTCAAAGTCTCTCAGGTTGTAATATGCCGTATTAAAGTTGTAATGTCGTAATAGTTGTAAATTTCGTAATGTTTATTGTTATCGTTATGATTGATACTGTACAAGTATTTAAGTAAAACATTATTGTTATCATTTTTAGGTTTTTTTATTTTTTAAATAAATAACCACCGAATTTGATTAACCGGCTTTGGTAGAAATTATAATAACGACTGTCCACATGATAAAGATCATGATAAACATGACTCTGAATAATGCACGAGAACTATTCATGCGAAGCGTGAACGTGGAAAGGAGGTTTAATGACATAAATTGGTTCGTAAAAGCACTCATTAGTTTTCAAATTATGATTCTTAATCGTGTTTAATGATGAAATATTTGTAAAAGGTTATTACGATCATCTATAATTACAGTTCTTTACAACTATTACAACTGTTGTAACTATTCCGGTCTTTACAACCATTACAGTTGTTGTAAATATTATGACAAATAGTTACATCTATATTATAAAAGTTGTAATCTTTCAACTAGGCGAGACCTATTATGGCATGTAACCTCAATAGAAATCTTCTTTTTATCTCATCATTTAATGCATGTTGTGGGCGTATCGGTACGTAGTGTTCTTATAAATCATCGTTTTTTAAATAAAATACTGCCATAAACTCAAAGATGACATTTAATATTCATAATTGTAGTAAATGCTGGCGCTGTCAAGATAATTACTACTGCAGAAAGTGTACCACTGAGAGCGGGAATTAGAGGTTTTGGACGGAATTAAGGAATTATGTTTAGGATCTACAAAGAGATGTTTTCACGGGATCCCCCAACATCCCGACACCCAAAATCCCGACAGTAGATCCCGACAGTTCAAGATCCCACAGTCCATAATCCCGACATTCAAAATCCCGAATGGTTCAAGAGCCCGACAGTTTTTTGATGATATAACTTCACAAATCTCGTTATTTTAGCAATAAGAGGTTTATGATAAAAAGATTTATGCGTCAAATAAACGCGAGATACGCATCAAATAGTGAAAACTCGCTAATATCGTAACTTGTACATCCCGCAATATTCCTGAGCTCCAGAAGCCGAGTTGTGAGGTTGGAAGTCTGAGATTTTGATATAATATATTACATAATTGTCTATTGTGAACCATTCGGAGCCTTGAATGTCGGGAACTTGAACCATTCGGGACCTTGAACTGTAGTACAAGATGACAACTCAAAAAGCACCAATCACATTGGAAAGCTACCATCAATGGAAAAGCTAGCATCCACAACCAACAGTTCATAATAGACTTTACAATTTGCCACATATTTGTAAATCAAAATATTGGAATAATTCATTAAATAATGAATACAAATACAACAGCTGTGATAAAATGGAATAATTATTAGAATGAAAGATTATTTAGAAGAAAAACACAACTATAGATAATATATATTAACTAGTTGCATCTACTACTAGTATAGAAATTGCTGACAATTACCACATGATAGATGTAGATTATGTGATGGAGATATTATAAATAATATCATCATATTATTATCCTCTACAAGAAGAAAACACAGAATGTCTGACATTTTTATCTAAAATTGGATGTTCTGATCTAATGATTAATAACAGAAATCAAACTAGAAACCAGTTCAAAAATAGCTAGAACAATGAGTATGAGACTGTTTGAACTGCCAGCTCTCAATTAGATAGCCAAAAAAAATATAAAGAATGAAAGAGAATAAATATTCACTTATTACTATTTGAAATCAACAACCAGCATACCAGTGACATCATTAATAATAACTGGAATACAGTAAGCATTTCATGAACAATGATAATTATCAAAGGAAATAAAATCAGCAATGACAATAATAAAATCAGTGAAATAGACAGAAATCTAGAAAATAGAAGCAAGAATAAAGATAAAAATGAGAAAAAATTATATCAATCAATCAATAAATATGTTCACCAACTCATATTATAAATGATAATACTATTATTAGAATAATAAAAAAATTATTGTGTGAAAATAAAAAATGAAAAAACAATATTTTTTCAAGAAAAATATGAAATATTATCATCATTACCAATAAAAACATATATCAAATCAATAATAAAACTTATCTAAACCAGAAAAATAAAAAAAAAGCAACAAAATCATTCAATCAAAACTTTCAAAACACATGACAAAATTATGATATTTTACTAAACAAAATTTGTAATATTAAAGTACAGTTTTTTCTAGAAAATTGAAAAATAATGGACATGAGAACAATATATTTTCAAGAGATAATGAAAATAATTTTTATTGAAAGTATAATTAGCTTTCATAATCAAAAAACAATAATAACAATAATAATATTGTTAATAAAATAAAAAAACAAAAATAATTTCTATCCAGATAATTAAAGTAATAGATTAAAAGATGATTCACATTTAGATAATATCATACAGATCTATAAAATTAATATCATAATATTAATAATAATAATAATAATAATAATAATTTAATTAAAAAGAAAAGAATAGAAGTATAAAATAAAAATAATATCATCAATTGAAATAATTATTCTATACGTCATCTTCTTCAACAACCATTTTGACCCTTATGGTATATCATACAACATAATATAAAAGCAAAAAGATTACAAATTAAATTAATCAAAATCAAAAGTCATTCTGGCATACATGACAATAAACAAGCAGATAAACTTGCAAATCTAGGCAGAAGACAAGATCCTATTTATATTAACACTCATAATATTTCAAATTTTCCATTCATTCCTATTTTCCTTCAGTCCATTCCAATAAATTCTAATCTAAGACACTTTATTAAGTTAATTACATATAAAAAAATATAATATATATGGCAGCTGTCAAATGACTTTAACAAAATAATCAACAAATTCTTCTAGTTAACTGAAAAGTCACATACTCAGTTTGGAATCCTGATCAAGGTGCAAATAGCAACTTTGTCACATCAAGAGCATTTTGTCTTGATCGAACTTCATATTCACAATATTCTTCCTCGCGATTCAAAAGAATTCGGGTTGCTTCATTATACCACATGCGATTCACTTTATAGCATGAGCAAAGATCATTATTCCAAGATGAGCGAATGACCCATTAAATTCGGGGACCGGTTCCGTCATAATGGTCATATATATCGAACTTAAAATACGAATTAAAGTTTTCTCGCACTAGTTAGAAAAGATGGTAAAGGAACTTCGAGAAAAGCTATCTGAGTATATTGGATTTAAGCCCGAACAAATTCGAATGCCGATTACCGCTGAAGACCAAGATCTGTTACGGAAATTAATCGCTCAGCAGGAGCAAATAACAGATATCGTAATAGGTGAACATCAAGACCTACTTCGCTATAGACGTAATTCGAAAGGTGAGAAATTGGTACATATCACCTGGGTATTGGGTATTACATAAAATCATTGCGAAAAAGCCTTGGAACTAGCACCCTCATCTCATAAGATCGCCAAAAAGGTCTCGAAAAAGATTCGAGAGCATCCCATTGGCGCCAATTATTTTAGCCTATGTATAAACATGTTGATAAAGCCATTTATCCCACAGTCGTCAATATATGCGAGAATTCGATTTAATTTTTTGGTGTTGTGTATCAGGCTGTGTTACTTGGTGCTCAGCAATTATGAATCGTTTCTCCGAACAGGTGAGCTGTAATATTTACCAGACAAGCAATTAATTTCGGGCACGGAACGCATGGACACACTCTCGATTAAAAGTAAAATCAAAATTTATTATTTCATTTTCCGCCAAAACATATGTTTGAATGAACATGGCAATGGCGCGCAATAAAAAATCGGTAGCGATCGAGAACATTTTGAATGTAATGTTGAGTGTGATTGAATTTTGCTTTGTTAGGGTAATGATTTCACGTTGGCCTAAGTAAAGTAATAGAAAAGGTATTTGTTTGTGGATGAAATGTTCAAATTCCGCAAAAAATTTGGCCAGTGTTTGTTCTTATATAGCGTGTTCATATAAAGAGTTCTGACTGTATCTATATCCGAGCATATCGCGAACTTGAATTTTTTACTTGAATAATCGCATGTCAAATATTTATTTTTATACTATTCGCCATATACCATGATTCCAAGGCTCTTTATTGCAAACTAAACACGATTTTTGCTCAATAAAGTTATAATTATCATTCCTTTATCCTCCTGAAATTTTTTGTGAATAGTCTGTCGTCATCCTATAAATCACATGGAAAAAAACTGAGGATTTTCGTTATCTTGACACGTGGATTTTTTGTATAGAAATCCTCTTCGTCAGAGTATGGCCGTTTTGAAACAATTTCACCAGCAGTAACCTCGCCGACACCATCAAGAGTTTTGCACATCCCTTTTGGTTCCGCGAAGTTAGGATTGATATGTTGGGTAAGGAAAAACGTAGCACGTGATGAAAAAACGGGACCAAAGTATTTCTCAAAATTCTTTTTTGTGATAAGTAGACAGTTGTCTGGTAGTTCCGAAAGATCGTCACCATATGGTTGTGTGGCAAAAAAGAGCATGACAGGAACATAATTATCCGGAAATTTCGCTTTCTGGAGAGGATATTCACGTTCCAGGATACCCTCGCAGTTTTTGATACTTTCTTCTAGGACTTGACGCAATTTAAATTTTTGGCAAATATTGAGGAGTTTGGTAGAGTTAATAATGTTCCTAAAACCAAATGAATCTCCAAACGGGGCCGACGTGCCATTGACGACTATAACATTCCCATTCTCCCAGTCAATCGGTTTGTTGTCACGTTTGTTTGTCAACTTTTAGATGGGAATTGCTCATTTGCCTGGTAGATAGAGAGCTTCTCTAACTTCACAACAACGTTTAAAATACTATCTTTCCCATGGGCGCCGGGATATAGTTCCCGCATAGACAACGTTTGTATTCTAAGTTCAACGAGCAAGTTGGTACGAAAGACCTCGTCGCTACAAACAGTTCTCACCCCTGCCAATAAATCTTGTTTACATCAGATGTTTTCGCAAGCGACTGTGGTACAATACGTAAAACGTCGTTATAGATACAGAGAAAAAAGAACGGCATTTTGGTGAGATGATAATCAGTGTCATTTACGGGGTTGAGGATGATATGAGTGTCTCTCCAAGTTTTCGATAGTATGGATGTGATCATTCGAGTCTAAACATTGATCATAGGTGACAGGGATTGCTTCAATGCAGTGGTATATAAGTTGCTGGGCTACTCGCTAATGGTCTCGTATGGTTTTTTTTATGTTGTAGAGTCCATCAAGTTGAGCAATAATCTTGGAAAAGATAGTTTGATAATATTGGCTGTTGATATCTCCAAAGAAATCGGATCCATGTTCGTTTACATCTTCAAAGCAGATCTCAAGTAGATGTTGTAGTGCACGAGACAATCCTCCAGTATCCCGTATAATTTGAAGAAATGGGTAACAAAGTTTCCACTCGTACTCGCCATTGATTTTTTTCCACCAAATTCCTCTGCGTAATAATCCACGATCTGAATCATAGATTTAGAAGATAATATCGGACACCTGATAAATTCAAACGAGATATTTGTCGGCTCTTTTTCCTTGAGGATAGCTTGCGGTGCTGTCCCTGAAAGAAATAATTGCACGAAAATGTCTTTGGGCGGGCCGAACATGTATGTCGTAAGTTTTCTGCTCATATTCTTAAAGAGCTCTCGGTTTGTAGTCTTTTTAACCTCTTCATCCCATTTAAAGATCAATTGAAATTCATCAATATGGAGAAATGTGAAGAGCGTCTGTTTAGTGTTTTGGAGAGACAATCTGTTTCGAATGCTTGTAAAGACTGCTTCGATGGTGAGAAATTTGACGTAAGGCTCTGCAAGTTGGCGAAAGGCCTGAAATCCTAAATTATATTTCCCCAGAATGAAGAACTTGTAGGCAATGCGCAAGCCAATAATCACTGAATCGTCTAGGTTTTCATCATATTGGTCAAGTTGGATGCCGTTCCAAAAGTCCACATAAAGGTATTCAAAATGTGGCTGAAAGGGCAAGCGATCACTGATTTGGATGTTATTGAAAACCTCTTTACCAAGCCGAGTTTTACCTACATGCAAGATTTAAGAGATTGATGAAAAATATGCATAAAATGTTTTGGAACATGCAAAAAAAACCATACCTATCCCTGGTGTTCCTCCGCTAACCAGGATGTGGAAATCCGCCTTGCGTTGTTACTTTTCAAATTATTAGACATTCTTCTTTATAGTACGAACTGTATCGGAGAGGTCGCGATCCTTTAATGCCCAATCAAAGATATGAGCTGAGGCTTTATAGGTAAGACATTCTTTAGGACAATTTTGATAATATCTTCAACTAGTGTTTAAATAAATAAGTTTGAGATATTTGATATTTTTATGACACAGCGCAGACGAGAAGTTAAGCCCGCGTTCACTTGCGCTGACTGAATTTATTACGACTTACCAGTTTCAACGCGTGGTAATTTATCAATATTGTTGAATAAATCAGCCACTTCCTTGTCAGTGAGTTTCTCTTCATCTCAACGCTGGAGAGGCGATTAATCTCTTCATAGACATCAATAGAAGGAAGAGAGGTGGAAGCAGTAGAGGTGGTCATGGTCAGAAATATTGCAGTTTCACAAGTTAGAGATTGAGGTATATGAGAAACCGATTGTCGCACAAACTTATCACACGATTTGTAATTACATCATTGCGAGTTAAAGAAACTGGGATACGATCAAAGTAATTCACGATCATGTGTCATCAATCACCACTTTGTTGATTCCTTCTTTGGCATTATTTAGTATGGCGAAAAATTATTTTATTTTCGAGAGAACAATCCACGGGCATTATAAACACATATGAAGACACTTGCGAATTGCTTTATACTTGTAATACTTGTAATATCCTCGCCATTGACTTTGTATTTACGGAGAACCTCCTTCAGCTCTTGAACGACGAGAAACTTCTTAATTTTTGTTCAGCGAGCTCACTAGTGAAGGTCTACAAGCCTTGTCACAGTTCCCACAATCTCTGAAAGCTTGTTTGCTTAACTTGAGAAAGTCGCGACCAGAAATCTTTTCTTTGCGCAAGATTGCAAAATCGTCATTATCGAATTTCAAGCCCCTCTTTCGTAAATAATCGATAAGTTCATCCGTGCTATAATTTTTAACTATGTCTGCCATCGTGCGGGTTGACCTCTCTTCCGTTAAAGTGGAGGAAGTAGAAACTGGTGAAGAAGGTGAGGAAGCGTGTGAAGACATGGTTTATTATATTGATGTATGGCGTTAAAAATCTTGTTTATGTATCTCGCTTGGCATTAGGGCTTGAATTTGATCCAAGAGCGTATCAATCGTTGATGCAGTAGAAATAGGAATTATACGAAGATAATATGGTAAACCATCGAATCCATTAATAGGTATGTAAAGACAGTTGAGGTTAATATTAGCACCAATATCACTCATTTTGCGTTTCCTAAATAAAAAGATTCATAGTGAGTGTCACGTTAGTAGCTTTGCTTTGTAAAAGAATTTCGCTTTCATAGGTATTTTCTTTGCTGTAAACAACACATACCTTTTAAAATTTCGTGGGAAGGTGAGGAGCCAACTTTCAACGATTCATGCTTATTTATATTACTTCACTCAACCCGAAACTCGCTAAAGGAATCTTGCCTTTATCAGCCGAATATCCGATGAGATCTTCAAACTTGTTATAATTCAGCCCTCATAGTCATACGCAATCAGATAAATGAAATCCCTTTGGTTCGAGATCGCTCCTGCAAGACGATCTATGCAATATCTAAAACCTCGACTCTAACTTGGGGTTTTTGATATGAAAACTAATAAAGAATGTCGAGCTTTTCTTCCTTATCACCTTTCTTATTCCAAAGCATGTGTGGAATAGTGGTATTTTTCCAGACTAAAATAGAGCGAAAAAAAATAACGTTGTACAATTACGCATGTTCCACGAACTTCTATATCGATATCCTATAGTATCCTAGCCACGGCAAAAAAAAGTGGCAGATCATGTGATTCCAATGCCGACCATCCGATATCCCCTTTAAAATTATAATGCATAATATTAAATAAATTTCGGTTATGGTTAGGTTTAAGGTTAGGTTTATGTTTAGAGTTAAGGTTATTCTATAATAAACGGGAATGTAATGTATAGTAAAATTTCGCAAGGAACATTTTCAATTAAAGCACAAAAGATAGTTTCATAGGCAAAATTTAAGATATAAGCTATTTTTCAAAAATAAGCATTTGTTTTGTTTATTTTTGAATTTTTGCGTTGCACGTTGATCTTGCGATTTGATTGGTGCATAATTTTAAGGGGGATATCGGCTGGTCGGCATCGGGATCGGAATCGCATGATCTGCCACTTTTTTTTGCCGTGGCTAGGGTACTTGATATCCTACCCGTGACGTAACACAAATGACAATTTTTCCGGTTTGACAAAAATAGGGGCACGACTAAAGCCTGGTGGATTCACTTCGGAGGAATTCGGCGCTGTAGTTAGGAAGTCGATTTTCCGAGAACATGATTAATAGTCAACTCTTGTTACTTGTTTCTTGTTGCTCGTCCATACCTCTATATCTATAGAATATTTCGGGAAGTACTCTGATTTCGATTGTGGACTACTTGAACTGACTGTTGTTATTTCTTTATAATTCTACTAGCATGAACCAAATATTTATTTCATTCATAAAATAAATTCTCCCATTATTGGATCTTTTTTCCAAGTTTGTAACGAAAAATATCCACTTACTCAATTACTCGGAATATCTTGAGCGAATTTCAGTAAATTAAAGAACAAGTTAGCTTGTTTTTTATGACTTTAACACTTTTTTTAAATCTCTTCTCTTTCACTCAATTTTTATATACTATATACTTTTTTCACTATTTTCTAGATCATTTTTAAAAAGAACGTATTTTTTTAGTTTCAGAAGATATAATAATAATTGACTCTGTAAAAATGAGCTCTCTTATGTCTGTAACTTTAACTTTTGATCAAAAATATGCTCTTCTTTTTAATATTAATTAATTGCTTGAACTTTCAATGCATGAATTTGATGATGAATGGTAATCTCTTGTATCAAATATTTGAATAGATTTAATTATAAAATTCTCATTAACAGTAACTCATGGAGAATCTTTACTTGCCACTTCACCAAACATAATTAATTGAATATATGTTGTTATAAGCAAAGTATTTTATATTATATTTATTTATATTATTATCATTTTTTGTATGGTTTTGAACTTTGTTATAGGAAGAACACATGAAACTAAACTAAGTATAAGAGTTAATAAACTTTCTTATTTTAAAGATATTTTATAAAGTTATCCAAAGATAGATAATATATGTTCATTTTTATGATCAGCTAAGATAAAACCAGAAATATTCAAAGATAATTGTATTCTTTTTTTTAAGTTGATTTAGTAAATAAGTAAGATGTAATTTCTTTTATTAATTCAATTATATATTATTATTAACTTTATAATATAAATGAAAGATCAAATATAATTACAGTCAAATCTCTTTATATTCACACTCATTTATAGTTATACTATTTTACTTATTTATTTACATATAAATATAATAAAAAAATCTCTATAGTCATATTCACTCTATAGTTATCAAATTTTGCTTTTCTGGGAATGATGACTATAGAGAGATTTAACTATATTATAAGAAGAATAATTTCACAATATAAATGAAAGTTTATATATCAAATAATAATAATAACTTTATAATTAAGATAAGAGATTATATAGAAAAACTATTTAAAGAAATATTAAAAGTATAAGTATAGTTAAATTTCTTTATAATCATATCTATTTATAGTTATATTTCTTTATAGTCATTCTATTTTGCTTTTTATTTATATATAAATATAGTAAAAAAATCTTTCTATAATCACATCCTCTTTATAATTACCAAATTTTGCTTTTCCAAAGGTGATAACTATAGAAAGATTTAACTGTAATAAAAATTATTTCAAACTTGATTATTTTCTAAACTAAATATATATTATATTTATATAAATTATTTGTTACTTAATTATTAAAATCTAAAATTATATCTGATTGATATTATAATTACAAAAAGTACTTACTTGCTTAATAGTTATATATTACTCACTTTGATATTATATATTATATTATTAATATCAATCAAATTAGATTATATAGATTAATTAATATGTGTTTTTTATATTAATAATAATAATAATAATATAAATATAATATAAATCAAATATAATTAGTATGAAATATAATTGAATAATATAAAATATAATTAAAATAATATGAAATAATATGAAATATAAAATGAATAATATAAACTTAAAAAGAAAGTAATCTATAAGTTATGTGTAAATTAACTATTTAATTTTGAAAAAATGTTTAATTCAGTTTGAGCTTAAATTAAACTTAAATTTGATCAAAAATCCAGTTCAAAAATTTGAATCTAATTAAAAGTTTTTCAAGTTTGATTCAAACTTTGAATTAAATTCAAATCAGACTAAAATTCAGTTTGAGTTCAAGCAAATATTTGTTAATATTGTTATTGTTTTGAGCTTTTATATATGGAAGTATTTCAAAATAGCAATAGTAACTGTGTTCATAGCAATTTACTTTGAATATTATGACTAAATAACATTTATAATGATAAAATAATATTTCTTGACAAGATAAAAGATGACGAGAATAAGACTAAACTAATAAAACTTAAACTAAAAGATAAACTTAACCAATAATTACTTAAAATTCCAAAATAAAATTAATTTAACATGTCAAACTTAACATTAAACCAAAAGAAACTTAAACTCAACTAAAAGAACTTAAAACCAAAATTGAAGAACTTGATTTTTATTAATTATTAGCACTTGTATTTATACATATTTTTATGTTACAGTGGCATAGTATAGTATAGTAATATGCAGTATGACACAGTTGCAGCGCAGCATATAATATAGTAGATCTATGCTAATATTATAAAATTACTGATTCTCTTCTAAATTACATGAAATTTAACTACATCATAATTAATAATCTTGTTCTATATCTAAGTACTGTTATCATATTATATGAGTCCTTGGAAGAGCTGGTGAGTGCTTAATAATATTATAATAAGTTACTTGATCAGGATAATTATAGTAAAGTTTATTAAGAATAACGGGTGAGAGAGTATAATATAATTAAATCTATATAATGCATCAAGTATTAAATTATGATTATAAATGAATTTAAAGGAAGATAACAGTGTATTTATAACGTGATCAGCTAGAATGAGATCTGGAATTTTTAATAATTAAAGGATTTTATGTAATAAATATATAATTTCATTATAAGATCATAATTCAATAATAATAAAATATAATTTTATTATTAG